TTAGCCGCGGGTGTTCGCGATTGCGTCTGTGTGTGCGCTTGTGTGTGTGTGTGTTGTGTGTGGTGGTGGTGGTGGGGGGGGCTCGCGCGTGTCTCGTATGTGTGTGTGTGTGTGTGTGTGTGCGCGACCGTGTGTGCGTGTGCGCGTGCGTGTCTGGGTGCTCGCGCGTGTGTGTGCGTGTGTGTGTAAACGTTTGCGTGTGTTTATGTCTGTGTGTCTGTGTGGCTGCATGTCCTCAAGCTCCTCAAGCTGTGTGTCAGATTTGTGGCTGCATGTGTCTGTGTGTCTGTCAGGCTGCATGTGTGGCTGCATGTGTCTGTGTGTCTGTGTGGGTTCTTGTGTATATATGTGTGTTTGCGTGTGCGCGTTTGCGCGTGTGTGTGTGGACCTTTGTGTGTGTGTGTGCGTGTGTGTGCATGTGTGTATGTGCGCATGTGTGTGGAGCATGCTGGCGTACGTGTGTGCTCTTGTGTGCTAGTCTGTGTGTGTGTGTGCGTGTGCTTGCTTGTGTGATATCCTCTTTGCCATCCTGTTCGTTGTTCGTCTGCGCATGTGCGTGTGCGCGTGCGTGCGCGCGGTGCTGCCGCCGTCCGCGCGCCCCCCACCCCTCCCCCCTCCCCTCCCTCTGGCGCTCCGCGAGGGCGGAGTGGTTGGAGCGGAGGGAGGGCCGGCCCCAAAATGGGGCGGTGCCTCCCCCCTCCGGAGCGCCGGCGGGGAGGGCGGGGGCGCGTGGGGGCGGCAGGGGAGCGCGGGGGGGGGGGGCCGAGTTGGCTGCGGTGCGTGCGTCATCGTGTGGTCGTCAGTGCGTAGGTTTCCATGGATGCTTGCGTGTGCGTCTGTGTGCGTGGGTTGTGCGTGCGCGAGTGTGTGTGTGTGTGTGCGTGTGTGCGTGTGGGTGTTTGTGTGTGCCCCCGTGTGTCTATGTGCTTGTGTGATCCGTGTGCGTGTGCGCGTCCCTGTGTGTATGTGAGATGTGCTGTGTGTTCGTGTGTGCGCGTTTGCGCGTGTGTGTCGCCCTTTGCGCGTGGATGTGTTGCGTGTCCGTGTGTGTGTGAGTGTGTGCGTGTGTGTGTGTGTGTGCGTGTGTGTGTGTGAACATGCTGGCGTATGTGTGCGTTCTTGTGTATGTATATGTGTTTGTATGTGTGTGTGTGTTCGTGTGTGCGTGCTTATGTGCGTGTGCTCGTTTGTGTGAGTGCCTCTTTGCTATCCGGGTTTTGGACGCTACCAAGTTACTCGGGAATCGCGCTCTCGCTGGGGACTTCCTTACAAATTATTCAAGAATCGCTCTCCCGGCGCTCTGGAGTCGCGCTCTCGCTGGATACTTGCTGCAACTTACTGAAGAATGGCCTTGCGTTGGGATTTCCTGCAATTTGCCCAAGCGCCGCGCTCCCGACACCCAGGCACCCAGGAGTCGCGCCCTTTGTGGCCCCATGTGCATGCCCCTCGTGGCCCCGCTGTCGCCATTTGTGTCCCCCTCAGTGTCCTACGTGGCCCAGTTGCTACCCTCGGTGGCCCCATAGTTGCCTTCTGTGGCCCCGCATTAGCTGCACTTCGTGGCCCCCGCTCGTTCGCGCTCTTCGTGGCCCCATACGCATTCCCTTCGTGTCCCCGCTGTCGCCCTTCGTGGCCTACTTCGTGCCCTTCGTGGCCCTGCTGTCGTTCTCTCTCGCTCTCGCTTTCGCTCGTCGTCGCCATCGTCGTCGTCGCCGTCGTCTTCGACGTCGTCGTCGTCGTCGTCGTCGGTCGTCGTCCCCTGTCTGTCCCTCTTGGGGTCGAGTCGACGGTCCGCGGCTGCCCCGCCGATCAGCGCTGCCGCTGGCCAGGCCGACGGTCCGCGGCCGCCCCGCCGCTTGCCGGGGCCCGGCCTGCAGGGAAGAAAGGTATACCCCCCAAACGGGGTTCGATCGAAGACGAAGAGGGCGGGTATCAAGGGTTTGGGAAATACGCGTTATTGGACACTCGAGCATATAAGGGCGAACCGTATTAATGTTTGTTATTGTTGTTGTTGTTGTTGTTGTTGTTGTTGTTGGTGTTGGTGTTGGTGTTGGTGTTGGTGTTGGTGTTGGTGTTGGTGTTGGTGTTGGTGTTGGTGTTGGTGTTGGTGTTGGTGTTGGTGTTGGTGTTGGTGTTGGTGTTGGTGTTGTTGTTGATAATATGTATTGCTGATCTTGCTGATTCCCCCTCACCGGTGCATGCTGTTTTTTCTAAATCAAAGTGTGCCCCTCGGCGCTCGCACCCTGTTTTTTTGACCGGGGAAGTCTTCGTGCTCAAACTGGGCCCTTGGCCCCCCAGATTACAACAACAACGGCTCCCGCCTGAGACTTTCTCCAAATTTACTCAGGACCCCCGCTCCTGAGACTTCCTTACAAGTCACTCAGGATCGGTGCTCCCGCCTGTGTCTTCCTCGCAATTTCGTCAGGACCCCCGATCCCATCTGAGATTTCCTTACATTTACTCCGGAACGGCGTTCCCGCTTGAGACTTCCTCGCACTTGAATCAAGATTTTCTCGCAATTTAATCAAGACCCCCGCTCCCGCCAGAGACCCCTCACATTTGATTCCGGAATTTTGCTCTCGCCTGTGACTTCCGTGCAATTTATTCAGAAATCGCGCTCTCGACGCTCAGGAAACGCTGCGCCAAGGATGCCGCTACAATTTACTTAGTAATCGCGCCCTCGCCATGGCATCCCGTTTGACTGTCTCACCCGCCCGACCCGCCCGTCAGGGGATCGCCCGCCCGTCGTGGGTTCCCGCCCGAGACTTCCTTCAAGAACGGCGCTTGCGCTTAGGATTTCCTCGAACGTTCACGCTCTTACCTTCCTGCTCCTCCTCCCTCTCCCTCCTCCCTCCTCCCTCCTCTCCTCCCTTCTCCCTCCCTCCTTGTTTCCCTCATCCTTATGCCTCTCTGCCCTATCCCCTCTCCCTCCTCTCCCTCCTCCCTTCTCCCCTCTCCTGCCTCCTCCCTCCCTCTTTCTTTCTCTTTCTCTTTCTGTTGTTTTCCTCTCTCTCTCTCTTTTCCTCTCTCTCTCTCTCTCTCTTTTTTTTTCTCTCTCTCTCTCTCTCTCTCTCTCTCTCTCTCTCTCTCTCCCCCCCCCCTCTCTCACTCTCTTTCCCTACTTCTCTCATATGTCTTTCTTTTTGTTATGTCTCTCTCTCTCTCTCCCACTCTGCCTCTAATCAACCGCCCCCTTCTTCGCTCCTTCTCTCCAGGCGTTTTCCCTATTCCTTCGTCCCTCCCCCTCCTTTCCTCCCACTTTCCCTCGTTCTCCCCTTCCTTTACTTGCGGGGCCCACACCAATTCCAATGGCGGGCACATGTCCGCCCACGAAGGATTGTCCGCCCGTTCAGGTTTGCTCGCCTGTCTAAGCCCGCCGCCCCCCGCAAAGAGAAAGAATCCCCCAAAAGGGGGTGTGATCGAAGACGGAAAGGGCGGGTATCGAGGGTGTGGGGAACTCGTTTTGAATGACGCACGGGCAAGTAAGAGCGAACAGTCTTATAATGATTGTTGTTATTGTTGTTGTTATTGGTGTTATTGCTCTTGTTCGTGTACAGATAATTGTAATTGTAATTCCAGTGTCAATTGCAATTGCAATATATTCTTTATGTTTCGTAGTATTAGGCTTGTTGTTGTCGTCGTCGTCGTCGTCGTCCCATCTTCGACCCGCCCGCGCCCCGCCCCGCGACCCACCTCAAGAACCCACCGCACGACCCACCACGCAGCCCACTCACGATTTACCTACGACCGACCCGCGACCCACCCACGTTGCTTTGACGCAGAATCGGTGCCTGCGGCGGGCTTATTGTGCAACGCATAAAAATGGCACTTGCGGCGGGCTCCATCAGAGCATCGCGGACTGCCAACGACCCCACCGCCGCTTCACTCTTATCCGCAATTGCGGGGTGCCACGTACCGATACCGCTGCTCGTCCTGCAGTGCTCCGTCGCCACAGCTGGATTATAATCGAAATTCTGGTCAGAACGCACCCAGGAAGAGGTCCAGAAAGTAGCGGTATCGGTACCGTGTTGACCCTTTTTTTGTCACCACGTGTTTTGTTGTTCTTCCTCCTCCTCCTCCTCCTCCTCCTCCTCCTCCTCCTCCTCTTCCTCCTCCTCCTCCTCCTCCTCCTCCTCCTCCTCCTCCTTCCTCCTCTTTTCATCCCCGTCCCTCCTCTATCCCTCCCCTTCCTCCTCCTTGGGTTGTGCCCGTGGAGGAGGAGGAGGACGACGACGACGATCGTGCTCGCGCAGCAGAGCCGATAAGCGGTTAGAGGCTTTGGGTAGCAACGATATTTCGCTGTCTGCTTTGTCGCGGGGGGTAGGAAGAGGCCGGCGGGGCCAGTGTCGCACACAGTGCGAGCTGCTACACATGTCAGGGGTGAAGAGTTTCAGGGAGCGCTGTCATGTCTACGCCTGAGAAACGGAGATTCGCCTCGAGGGTATAGCCAGCCCAGTCGGCCACAGGGGCCTGGAGGCATGCATCCTACCTCTGCCGCGAGCGATCGCGGGCAGCATTGTGCTCGTCACGCTGACAACCTGGTACGGTCGATAGTATATAAGGATGGGCAATGTTCCAAAAGGTATTTTTGCATCGTTGCCTCTTCGGTCCGTCGTTGACAAGTTTTGATGGTCAGCCCCGCTCGAAAATCTTCCGCATGGGTGTCCAAGGCCTTACCGCGCATCCTTACTATCAGTTTTGACTGTAGTCATGGCGTGGGGATCAACCAGGTGCCACCGCTGCCGATCGGAGGGCGCCAACTATGCATAAACACCAATCCTGGCCAGGCCCATCCTGGTTTCAGGATCGGTGTGTATGCCTTCCTCGCAGAGGCAGGGGGGCGTATATAGCAGTCCTGGGCCCAGGATGGGCGTGGCCAGGATCGGTTGGCGCTCTCCTGGTCGACTCGACTCGGCTCTCTTCCTGCCCCCTCCTCGCCGAATGCGAGAAGGGAGTGAGGAGGCGCGAAGGCGGGTCGACGCGCCGCTGCCCGCGCGGGTCAGGCGCCGGTGGAGACGGACAAGCTCAAGTCCTTCCACTGAGCTCGGGCTCGCTTCCTCGTCTTCCGGGCCGACTAGTGGGCAAATTGGGGAGATGAGGAAAAAGCGAGCGAGGGATGATGAGGGGGCGGAGTTGAGGTGGAGGGGGATATGGGAAATGGGAGGAGGGGCTAGAGGTGAGGAAGGCAACAAGAAATGGAAGGGGGGGGAAGGGAGGAGGCGGAGGACGGATGGGGAGGGCGAGGAGGGAGGAGGAGTCCTCTTCCTGCAGCTGCTGCAACAATTTCTCCCGCCTTGTCGCCATCACGCCCTCATCCTCTTCGTATTGCTGATGCTGTGCCTACACCGCTCCCTCCTACTCATCCTACTTGTGCTCCTCATCATCATCATCAGCAACAGCAACAGCATCATTATCATCATCATCATCCATCATCATCCATCATCATCATCATCATCATCATCATCATCATCATCATCATCAGCATCAGCATCAGCATCAGCATCATCATCATCATCATCAGCATCAGCATCAGCATCATCATCATCATCGTTCTCGTCATCATCAACATCAGCATCATCATCATTTCCAGCATCATCATCACCAGCATAATTTACAAGATCATGTTCCGTCCTGGCACCTTATACGCAGTATACGTTCCCCTCTCCCTCTGCTTCCCTTCCCGCAGGCGTCTCTGCCCGAGTCCCTCTCTTCGCTCAAGGGGGGTTAGCGGTCCCTCTCTAGGTTCAAGGGGGGGCTAGCGGCAGCATGGCTTGGAGCCTCCTCGGTGTTCAGCAGCATGGCCCTCGGCAGCCGTGGGAGTTGGGTCTTTGGGGCGGCACTCCAGGACTACCGGGCGTTGCGCGGCCGCAGGTGCCTCCTCTGGTACGCGCCCAGCCTGTCGCACCGGACCGTCATCGAGGCGCAGCTGAGCCCGACGAGGTAGACGCAAAGGAAGAGCAGGCTACCGGCGCAGCCATGGTGAGAAGAGCTTCAGGGCCTCCTCCCGAGGTAGCGGAAGTAGCTGAAAGAGAGCACGCCTTGAACAAGTGGACACTGCTACTGAATAAGATCCACAGGTCAGGGGCCATGACAGTCAGACCAGGCGAGAGCCTCAGGCTGCTCGCCCGCGACACGCTGGAGACGAGGGCCACGGCGACGCTCCAGAACCGCGCGGGGTCTCTCCTGCTGTTCGCGGCATGGGCGGAGAGCCGACCGGTGGACGCCTTCCTACCTCCAGAAGAGGTCGTCTGCGAGCAGGGGGTCATCCCTCTTGGAGGCATTGGCGTTCTTGGGCTACTTCTTCAAGGTTGACGTCGACCACGTGCTTACGCCTCGGTCCAGGGGATTGGCGTTCAGAGGCCTGAAGCGCCGGAGGGAGACGGTCAAGGTCCCGCCCCTCCCCGTGATCGTTGTGCTGTGGCTTGAAACCGAAGTGACGGAAGCGGCAGCATGCTGTCTGGAGGAGCGGCCCCTCAGTAGAGCGGTGGTCCGCACGCGGTGCAAGGACGCGGCGAGAGTCTGCCACGAACCGGTTCTGGACGAGGGTTCGGACGGGCACGGCTTCATCGAGGCCAGAGCCCTCTTCGGCCACCACAAGACGGGAACCCAGGCGAAGAAGGCCGGCTTGGCCTTGCCGCTCGTAGCCTTGTCCCGAGGGCTCTGCGGGGTGCGCTGGGCAGAGGCGTGGCTCAGCTTGCGGAGGCAAGCCGGCCTAGCGGCAGAGAAGGACGGGTGCCTCCAGCCGGAAGTCCTCATGGATGGCTCCTTTGGCCGCGGCCGGATGACCACGGAGGCGGCGACTTCGTGGCTGCGAAGCCTCATGGGCGACGCGGCGTTGGACACGGTGCCGCCCAAGGATTTCAGTTCGAGGTCAGCGAGGGCCGCTGTTTTATCCTGGGCGGCTAAGGCTGGCCTGCCGGTCGATTCCCGCAGGCTGCTCGGTGGACGCGCCGATCCGAACGCGAAGAGCGCGCTGGAGTACTCGAGAGATGCTCTGGCTGGGCCACTGCACGAACTCCGCAGGGTCATTGAATTGATCGGGCGGAAGGAGTTTGACCCAGATGCTACCAGGTCTGGCAGGTGGAAACAGTCTCGGAAACGACAACAGCCGGATGCTCAATTTGCTTGTCCGGCTTGATCATTGCCTCGGAGTGCGCAGCGTGCTCGGCCAAGGTGCACCCTTCGCCGCCGTGCCTCGCAGAGTGCGAGAAGTGCGCCATGCTGCTGCGCCTGCGGTTCAGGCCCGCCGACCCGCACCCCTGCGCAACAGCAGGGGAGGATGGGGAGTCCAGTGGCGACGCAATCTTCCCTGAGGCTTCAAAGCACGAGAAGTCGGACACAGACGTGGAGGGCGACGCAGCCGCCGCAGTGGTCGCGGCAGCGGCCGGCGCCGGAGGCAACTTGCCTCCGTTCCCAGAGAATGGGGTCTGGCAGCACGTACGGGGCACGGTGCGCAGGGCCAAGGCCGGAAGCGACGACGCCGCGGCTTGCGGTTTATCTTCGCCACGGGCATGACCGAGCGCTGGCGTGAGGGCTGGACGCCCGCGGCCGAGCGGTTCCTTTGCGGTAAGGGCGGCAGCTTTAGGTCGAGCGGGTAAGGCAGTACAACGGCAATTGTTTGCAAAAGTCCACGGCGCGCCACGCCCCCCCCCTTCCTGAGCTTCACATGGCGGGTGCCGTCGCCCACGGGCTTGACGGCGGCTCCATCGCAGAAGAGGGAGGCGGAGGCGGTTGGGGTCGCCATTCCTGGGCTGACGGCGCCGCCGCAGCAGCGAGGGCAAGGTTGGGCATTCAATTGTCGGTCGTCGCCTCCGAGCTGTCGGCGCAATCGCATTCGCGCAAAGGGTGTTATGTAGTACCAGGTAGCCGTCGCTCTCGGGCAGGACGGCGCATTCGCGGCTTGAGGTGGGTGCGGTTCGCTGTCGACGCCTCCGGGCTGGTCGGCGCATCCGCACTTGTGGGGCATGTGTGGCCGTGTGGGTGAGCGGTCGTCGTCTCTGGGCTGGGCGGCTCGGCAGTCGTCGCCTCTGGGCTTGACGGCGCTTCCGCAGTGCGGCGTAGCTGCGTGGTTGGTGCCATCGCCGTTGGATTGTTGGCACAACTACCGTAGCGCCCATGGGCAGCAACAGTCTCATAACCCCTCTCCTTTCCTTCCTTCCCCTTTCCCCCCCTAGAGGAGTGGAAGTGGTGGAGGAGGAGGTGGCGAAGGAAGGACCCTTACACGATGTTCTGGTTGAGACGCGTTGGCCGCCGCGCTCGCGCCTGGCGGCAACAGAACGGAGCGAACTCTGGCCTGACCAGCAATCGTGGCGGTGAAAGTGCACCATCTGAGCTCTCGACCCCGTCTGGGCTCTCGACCCCGTCCCAGGAGGAGGAAGGGGAGGTGCCTTCTTTCTTTCCCTCCTCCCTTCTATTGCCGCTCGGGGAATTTTCTGCCGCCTCCGAGGTCGAGCGGAGTCGGGTGCTTGTGGAGGCAGGTCGTCGCCTTCGGGCCAGGCGCCGTTTCTGCAGCAAGGGAGGTGGTTCCCTATGCCGTCGTCGCCCTCGGGCTGGACGGCGTCGGTGCGGACGGGCAGCTATTCGCACGTCTCTTCTAGTAACGGTTACCGTCTTCGCCTTTTGGCTGGACCGCTAGGCTGTCGTCGCCTCAGGGCTGGACGGCGCCTCCGCGGAGAGCTGGGTAACGTGCTGGCAGTCGTCGCCTTCGGGCTGACGACGCCCTCTTTGGTGGTCTTCGCCGCGCGGCTGGACGGCGCCATACTCTAGCGGGTCGTCGCCCCCCAGGGCTTCGACGGCCAGACGGTCGTCGCCTCCGGGCTGGACGGCGCCTCCGCGGAGTGCGGGCTGGTGTATAGGTAGTCGTCGCCTTCGGGTTGGAGTATAGGTAGTCGTCGCCTTCGAGGGGGGTGGGGTCGACCCGGTAGTGACCCCCTCCGGCTTTCGAGGGGGAGGGGGGGCGGGGAGGGGTTAGGGGGGGGTCCAGCAGGGGGGGGGGGGGGGGGGGGGGATTTTCGG